TCCTTTCCGTCTTGTGTGCTGTTTGTGTCACTATCCAGGTGGCATAATATCGGGGTGCGCGGGTGGTGTCAATGCGTATCAATTGGGCAGCGATCGCGAAGCATCTGTCTACAGCGTATCGGATAACCTCCGCGGCAGTCGATGCGGTTCAGTGACTAGGGAGAGTGACACTAGTTGGGTGTGGTGACACTATGGGGCTGCGTTGAGTGACAGAGGGCTTGTTCTCAAGGAGTGGAACGAATGCGTCGGTGAGTATACTGGGCTATTTGGGAGTCTGGAGGAGCGAGTATGATTCAGAATTGCAGTTGAGGCGGTATCGCCATTCTGCGTAGTTGTGGTGATGTGCCAGACGTTGTACAAGTACAAGTACAAGTACAAGTACAATCTACTCGTACAAGTACTTGTACTCCATTTGCATTATTGAAGTGACTAAATTGACTCTGGATACCACCGCATTATTAATACCCGTCGCCATTGTCATATTATGAGTGTCGGAAGTCCGCTGTGCGTGGAGGGTAACCAAGTACAAGTGCTGTACCGGGATAGGTCAGATGGTGGTCAATGGTCAATAACGATGAACCAGGTGTTACGACTTTCAAGTACACTCAATGTCTCTCACACTGGTTGTCTTTGTGCCGATCTGACCTTGGAGGTGCAGTGCATACTACAGGCCATACAGTGTCTTCCGCGATAAAGCCGTGATACTGCACAGTTCGTGGGGGCCATGTGCAGTAAGTCCGCCATCCGACTTCAAGCATCGGCCTAGACCTTTGCGGTATTTTCCCCTACACCGTAGTTGTGGTGCTGACTACATGGGCGCGGTGGTGCCCATCACATGGCTCATGTGCCCACTACATGGGAGCAGTGGTTCCCATCACATAGTCCATGTGTCCCCTACACGATCCATGTGGTGACGACGCGATCCATGTGGTGACGACGCGAGGCCAATGTCATAGACAGCAATGTGTCCCCATGTGCCCCCATTTGCCGCCATGCTGATAACGACAGCCTCTACGATTGGCCATGAGCTGTGGAGCAGCTAGTATCATAAAATATCTGGTCGAGCCCCGGGCCGTGGCCAGACTTGCCATTCACATGGGTTTCAGCTTTGTCTGCTCGGTTGTTGATAATCTGGAAATTACATCGTCATGTTGGAACCAGTATGGGCTGATTCGTGATGCATCTAACCTGTAAACGCAAAGCCAGCACGGGTTGTGGTAATATGGGGAGGAGCAGGAGCAGGAGCAGGAACTGGGAGCAAGAAGCATGGAGCAAGGTGCAAGTGAGCACATTACTGGCTACCGCGGGGGGGACGGAACATATGTTTTAAAATTTTGAAGGTTTGTTACTGACGGTGAGGGCCGTGTATGAACTATTTCTTTTTTTCTCGGCAAAAGAGTGCGAAATAAACGTGATTGACATCAAAAGATGCATATTAAGTGAACAGAATTCCACCTCGCCCACAAAGACAGAGAGGTTCTCTCGGGTAGGGGGGGGGGGAAACGATTTCCGACTGGAATATTGCCCCGGCCATAATTAAGGATGAATACATGAACCTAGCAACTGGTTGGCACGCCGAAGGATGCATGTTCACATGTGCAGTGTTAGGGGTGGATGGAATGAGTACATGACCATGCAAGTTTTGGAAAGATCTATCTTACATACTGAAGGACTGTGGTACCTGAGGATAATGCACATCTTTATGGATTAGTTGAGAAATATTACGACACCTTAAGCTCAGATAGATGTGAACTAAAATATACAAATTATGAAAATGTATTTCGCAGACTTGATGACATTTTTCTGAGTAACTCCTGATAGATCTGAAAACGTGAATCGTACTCTTAGATGAGGTACATCCTTACGCATTACTCATGAACCCCTAAGGTAAATTCACCTTCTCACACTTCAGCTTGGCTGACACCTTCTAACCTGAAAACTAAGGTGTTTCTTTCTGACTAGTGCTATTAAGTAAAAATAGGTGACTTCTCATATCACCCATTTAAACCACATACAGTCAACCTCTTAGTTGCAACTGCTAATATTTGCAGTTATTATTTTAATTGAATTATTACCGCACCATGTATTTTGGTTTATACCGAACGGAGTCTTGAAACCACACCGCCTCATCTTCAATGTATTTTCCTGTATTTCGCTTCATAAACACCATCTTCGATATACGGAATTGTGCAATCTAACTCCCCCTATTCGGAACAAAACCTAACTAACTATCGTTTATTTTTATCGTGTTCAGAAAGCGGAAGACGGAGTATCGGACATCCTAATGATAATCTTTACACGGTTTATATGCACACCTACAATTCTCAGACACCAATAAATCTCAGCGCTCATTCGCCCCTCCTGACACAATTAAGGATGTGTATTTTCTTCTGTCGCTCTGCTTTTAGGACATGCTATACCAGTAGGATCACCCTAACCTCGTAAAAGTCTACCTGTCGCCTTTCGACCGCCACCTACAGAATACTCGTCACAAGTATTTACT